CCTTATAAGAATACATTTTCTGCATGAAAGGTTGTTCATACAGCTGAGTTGAGTTGCACTTCTGTTATTGTTAAGTAAACATTCTTTTGAGACAATTTTAAACCTCGCTGGTGGATATTACAAGTATATAATTTCTACCCATATATTGAACAATAGGTTGTACAATCATCAAATTCCCATCAAAAGTCAGTGTACCTTCATTTTTCATGAGATCAATTCCATTTCTCTTTAGCAATTTTTGGAATAATATGCTCCTCAAAAAAAAAAAAGAAAAAAAGAAAAATGAGATTTCCATTTGAACTTAATTGATTTATCCACTTATCAATTATTTATCTCACTGGCCCAATAGCCATTGTTACTCAGTTGAGTCTCACCTGATAATATTTCATAACTGAGAATGCCAGCTGTTAGCTGCCCATCATCAAATGAAGTCCTCTTCCTATGTAGGCATAACTTATAAGTAACTGAAAAAAAGGAAAGAAACAATTAGAAAGAAGAAAGGATTTCAAACTAAGCTATATCTTTCTTCTTTCAATTAATGAAAGTAACAAAATCTGTGATTCAAAGAAATTACTACATGGTGAAGTGGATAAAAGTTCAAGCTTTGAGTGTTGATTGTAGTCTCTAACAAAGAAGCCTGGAAAACAAGTGAGCCATGAACACAAACTTACTTGTATTCAAATGCCGACATGATCTGTTCTCTTCATTGTATACATATATTTCAGTTACGTAAATGACACAATTTTGAAAAAAAATATGTTCAATTCAATATTAAATTCACATCCAACCAGCATACCTACAAATGTCAATTTGAATGAGTTCAGGCAATCTGTCACTGATTAGTCTTGATATTTCAATCAAGAACTCTCCCAAGAAACGCACCTCACATAATGAGCCAGAATCACAAAAAAACTATGCAATATGAGCAAAGATGTGCAATATGCAATATATGCATAGATTCATGCATTCCTGTGAGTCTCAAGAAAAGGTCTCTAATGTGTCCTGAGAAAGCTGAATTTGAGACTGATCACCATTCCTGTTCTGAAAAAAATGAATAATGGTAAATTAGTATAAATAGATATGATAAAGCGGCAAAAAAAAAAGAGACTTGAGGTGCAACCTCACGATATGAACTCTTCAAGGAATGATGAATGACAAGGAAAATGTTTTCAAGGATGAAAACCAACTCTCTCACACTCTTCAAAGATGTCTGTAGTTCAGAATTCACTCAATTGTGTGTGTAGAAAATAGAAATTTCCTGTATTTAACATTTCTAGGGTAATTGGAGTGCTTCTCATTCTATTATTCAACCCAGAGATTTAAGGGATCCACTCCAAAGAAATGTGTGATACTCTAAATTTCACTTGCCACCAATGATAAAGCTGGTTACCATGACAACACCATTACCTTCACAAATGTCATGTGCGATAAAGAAGCAAATTCACCCTGCACAAAAAGATTACAGCAAAAGTAGGCAAAATGATTCTATAACATGAGGAGAAAGCAACATGACACTGAGTTATTTTGTACTGACCAACCGCACTGCGCATAACTGCGCATATAGTTGAACATGAATCGAGAATGATCAGAAGCAAAGGAAGAAATAAAAAGAAGTTTGATCAATTTGAAAGCCGGGTTGTAGAAGATGTTCATTAGTCTTGCCTCGCGACGATAAAAATATTTGGAGTTTTTATGAAGACTCGAACGTCAAACTACCGCATTTCGCGCTCCAATGGTCTACCACTGATCCACAGAGACAAAACAAAAAGTTATTAGTAGTTACAAAGTCCACACGAGACGTGCGTCCTGTATTCAGCTGCGCCAAGCAATGTCGAAAGTGTAAACAAAATAAGACAGAGACAAAACGAATAAATAAGATTTACTTTTTTCTCCCATCACTCCTGTTTTGCTTTGATTATAAACACAAAATTATATTTTACGAGTAATAAATAAAGGGATAAGTATCTAAAGAAACTGCGTCTGAGGGGGTAAAAGAAGATATTTTGGTTTTATCAACCGAGTACATGAGTTTATAAAGGTGCAAATTGGCCGAAACTTTCTAAAGCCGAAGTTTTAAGCTTTAGCCCCTCGTATCAGCGAATATCTTACGAGCCTGAGTTGTGTCTGAGTTTGATTACCCCCCCCCCTTAAGCTTAGTAGATTGGTCACAGAAAAGCCGAAGTGAAACTGTAGCTTTATAATTCGCCAAAGAATGGAAGCAGCGAAATTTTAAAAAAATGGAATGTAAATTAGGAACTGTAAGGACTCTTAGTTTACAAACAGGTTAAACTTTTGAAATTCTGCCCCGGAGGTTAAATTGCTTCATGTGTAATCACCTTGTTTTATCCAACTTTAGTTTATTTCAATTGCAGGATGATAAGACTCTTACGAACGATGCCAAGACCTGGCAACGTCCCCTTTAGTTAAGGACCTGTTATGGAAATTTAGGTAATTAGCATCTTTTCTGTCTTTTATTGAAATGAATTAAACTAAAAGCCATTGTGTTTTGAAAATTTGTTCGTCTCTGATGTCTTGAATATCCAAACGGAGGTAAATCGCGAATTTAAACAAAAAGTTTCAAAAATTATTGACTGGGTTTGAAATTCTGTATACCTTTTACTCACAGAATGATCGCTACTTAAGGCTTTTCTTAAAATTTCAACACACTCTATAGCAAGAGTCAATAGGTAAAGAATTACTGCATGAAAATGAAAAAGAAACAACGAGATATTAGCTGAATGAACTCAACCCTAAGTTCTCAGCACTAGCCAACAAAGAAATATGGTAACAAAAAAGGGAAAAACCAGGTCGGAGATCTCAGGATTGAGAGAATTAATTATTCCGTTAATGTATATTGTTTTGTCGGTGCTTAAATTTTCAGCTAAAATAGTTTACTCATCTCTGGGCCCGGTTTAATTGCACCTGCTAAGATCGTTTATTTACTTATAATAAGAACGAATAATTCATCATTTTCAAAAACTGTACAGACTTCAATTACTGTTCAAAACAGCAAGAATTCTGTCCATGGTGTGAAGTTTGATAAACATTTTTATATCTGACTTTGTCGCACTTTTATTGAGTTCAGTTGGTTTATTTCTTTTATACCGTTGTAATCGACTACCCTCGCAGCTACATTTTGAACCATGCATCCTCTGAAAAAGTTTGAGCTTGATATCTTGACTGCAGCCTCTTTCCTCTGCTTTTTATCTGGAGTCGTATTTCAACTTTGCCATGGTTGCTCTGGTAAGTGTGTATTTTTCCTTTTCTTTTCGTTATTCTGAAAGTAAGTTTGTGAAAACAGCAGCCTTTCATTTCCTCCACATTGATATTAACCGAAGTTCCTTTACATGAACACTTTTTAGATCTCCAAATACTAGTAGTAAAGTTTTATCGAACATTTGCAATAACATACATGTGATTAAGATAACTAACACTGAAATATGGAGGACCTGGTCACAGTAAGGAAATCTGATAAATGATTTTTAAGCTCGATCGTTGGGCAACGAAAGACATGTTTCTTCTCTGAAAATTCGAGAAGCTCATCAAACAGAAGTCGTGTTTGTTTGTTTTTTTTTGCGTGTCTCAGGCCAGCGGAGGGAATGCGAGACGCGTGGGGTATTACACGCGCGAGGAGAAGGGTGGGAAAAAGTTACTTCAACAAACATATTCATATTTAAAACGCACGAGCGGTCCTGCGTGTCTCATTCTGAAGAAAGATTAAAAAAAAAAAGAGAATTTCTCCTGTTTTTCAAACACAATATCAAACCCTCCTGGAGCCGTTGTTGCGTTTAAATTCTCTGCTCCATTTACGCTAACAATTAAGCTCAATTACCAACTCAAACAAAACACAAATATCAATAAACACAATCAACAAACACAATATCAAACCCTCCTGGAGCCGTTGTTGCGTTTAAATTCTCTGCTCCATTTACGCTAACAATTAAGCTCAATTACCAACTAAGCAACAAGTACTTCCTTGTCGAAATTGGTTATATGATTTTAATCTTAAATGTTCCCGCGGTTATAGAGAGAAGCATAAGTTCCTCCGAAAGCATCATGTGTAGAGTTACGGTGAGAAAAATAGTCACAAATTATTAATCACCTGCTTCTTTAATTTAATTGAAGAACCTAATAAAGAGATGCAAAACAGGGGAGTTCAAATTCTCTGCACAACAAATAGAGATGTTTTTTCTTAGCTCTGTAAAAGAAACTTTGATACAAATTGAGATAAATGGGAAATACGTTACTTTTCAAGATTACCTAGGACTGAAATTCAGTCTGTAGGCATTTTTTTAAAAAAAGAAACAAAAATAATCCACCTTGGGATACCATTTGATTTGCAGAGAGGTTTTCTGTTAATTCTAAGTAACGTTAGAATTTGATAACTTAGTGCAATGAACACCAAATAGAGTAAACTCACGGTTTCTCGGTAGGATCAGAAGACATTTGTATCATGCGGTTCAGGTGTTTGTTATGTAAAATGTTTTGTTGTAGAGGTGCAAGCATTAAAAATTATAATGGCATCTTTATCAAACACATTCTTTCGATCGTGGGAGGCAGTTTCTCCTTTATGAAATAAATTCACGGCGGTAAGACAACGACGTTCACTGGAATTTTCAACTGTCTTAAAGGTGATATTCGTATTTCAGCATCCGTACACTCGTCAACCACTCAGTTTAGGAAATTTGAACTAAGTAACCACTGATAATTTACTGAGGCGGCACGCGTGACGCATGTCTTCTTAGTTGCATGAAAACCGAGGCCTATCAAGTTATGCGGTAAAGTGTGGGCGTGCATACATCTGTCCATAACCTAGTGGCCTATGATTAAAAAATTTGAACCTCAAAAGGAGCGGTAATTAACAAAGAGGAACTCTATCTATATGTTCGTGAGGCTTCGCCAAAACAATAACAGTATAGTCCACGAAGCAGTACTCTTGTCATTATTCGTGCCAGAAAAAAGCTAAAACCTTCATTTAAGTGGATGCTTTCAAGCTGTGACCGAAAGAAAAGGTTTAAATGGCGTCTATGTACCAATTTGATTCTGGGACGTCGTTATTCCTTTCTGTCTTTGTCATTTTCTCAGGAATCATATTTTGCTTTTGTGAAGGCTGTACAGGTAGGGACATTCCGCGGAAGCAATGCTTTATTAGCATGTTTTGTTGATAAAGAAATGGTATCTTCAGCCTATTTTCACTCATTTATTTATCAAGCTCCCCAAAATTTAAACTGTTTGCTATTAATAATTTTCCCCTTAAAAATTGTGAAAGAAGGTGTTATTTCCTGCACATGACGGAGACTAGAACACCAACCACGAATTTCTACTACAACCGAACAACAAGAAATAGATCTTGGTAGGTGAAGAATTTTAATCCAAATTTTTTAGGCAAATTGACTGAAATGATGAGGCGATGATATGAAAAATAAGCAGGCGAATAACAAAAATCGTAAAACCGATGACAAAAATAACCAAAACCATGCACCAATCAATTGTCCCCACCGTGAATTGTAAATTTGAACATCTAAACTTTAACACTCGTGGCCAAGAAATCCCTTGGCTCGTTTTCCCGTTTACTTACTCTGGGCTAAAAATTGAGAGTTTTAATATTTTAAACCTGCGAATAACAATTCAACAATAACAACAATATTTTATTTCAAAACTGCAAATAACAATTCCAGCAAATGTTTATTTTTAATTGTTTGGGAACAAATAACAAAAACGGTTAATGTAGACGTTTCGTAAAAGGGTTTAAAAGCCCAAGTTGAAAGTTTTTTTTACTTTGCTTCTTCCCCTTTTAAGTGTTTTTTTTTCTTTTTTTGCAGCAGACGAGTGTCGCATCATCCTATTTGAGGAACCGATACCAAATATGGCAATTAAGGGACATGTGATCAGGAGTGGTGAAGTCCTTAGTGAGGGGAGCTGTCGCACGATGTGTTATATGGAGCCTAACTGTGTTTCCATAAATGTGCAACCTTTGCAAGGAGGAAAGTACAAATGTGAGTTAAATAACGCCACAGTTGATGAAAGTAAACTGACCTTCCTTCAGGAAACGGATGCTTACTACCTAGCTATTGAGGTAAATGCTTTACTTCAAGTTAAGTTTCACAAGAGAAGAATTCAAAGACGCATAATAAACCGTTTCTTTCTTTAACCCTTTAACTTATATGAGTGACCAAAACAGAATTTCTCTTTACCAAAGCAATACATTATCAAACAGACAAGTGATGAGAATAAAAAAAAATCCGATAGAGGATTATTAGTTGATTCGATACCAAATTCTCAGAACTAACATTACAGGAATTGTATGGCAGACAGTAAGGAGAATTACTAATGGAATCTTAGGAGTGAAAGGGTTATGAAGTCAACGATAAAAAATTGATCTTTTGTTGAAAAGTAACATGTACACCCTTTGTCAGAAACTCGTCTCTTCGAAAAGAGCATCAAGTTGGAATTCAGGAAATTTAAATGAATTGTTAATGATATAGGTGGGGTTGAGGTTTCCCTCAGAAAATAACAAAGAAATGTTTTTGCTTTAAATTTCGATCTACCAAAACTGGCAAACAATTGAAACTACATATCTGATGACTTATTCCGGCGATTTCGCTTATATATTAAAGAAAGAATGATTCACCCCAAGAATTAACAAGATGCTTTCCGGTGAAACAGGCAAAAGCCCCTCCTGATTCCTCATAAGAAAGTTCAGGATTATAGTTTTGACGGTAAACTGTTACGTTTGTTAGGCCAAGAAAATAATTTGGAAGGAAACAATTTAAAAAAACCAGCATAATCACCTAAGTTTGTAATATGAAGGCTTTCTAGGAAATTCGTTTCTAAAATTGTGTTCTTTACCACATGTACACATGCTCGGAACTTAATCATTTTAGACCAGCATTTTTATTGCTTTTCCTTCTTCCATCAAAATCTGGCTTCACACCTTTACGTCTTGTTCAATGTTATTCCATATACGTTGGATATATTTGTTCTTTTGGGAGGAAACCAAGCCTTATACAAGCCTCGTCATACATATTATAATTTAACGTAGCATGTCACGCTTCCTTATAAATTTTGATTGTAATATGGCAAATATGAACAAATAGATAAAAAATATGTTTGTCTTCTTTTTTCAATCAGAGCGTCGTTTTTTCTTCTCAACAGAATCCCTGTAGTAGCAGCCCCTGTGTGAATAACGGAACTTGCCAAGTTGGTTTCACCAGCAAAGGGTTTCGATGTGTCTGTGTTCCCGGATATGCTGGAGAAAACTGCAGTGGTACTTTAAAATTTGTGATTTTGAAAATTTAGTTGGCCCTGATTTGTGATCAACATATATTCTCAAAACTCAAACCACGAGAAAAGTCACGTCAACCTACATAGTCGCTTGGAATCAAATTGAAAACATCAATCCTGTCAAATTGATTCGCCTGGCATTTGTCAGTGTAACCAACGCGTGACTACATAGTTACTAAATTGTGAGACAAAAGATTATACTTCATTAAAAATGTGAGGAATTAATTGTGCTCGATCACTTCGTCTTCCACAGACACAGAATTTTCATTTGAAACGATGAAATGGGCTCTTTCTGAGAATCACTCACAGGCTTAAATTTGTTCTCACGAGACTGGGTGTACTATGGCCACTCCTATTAGTACATAACACATTCCTCATCCATGGAAATTTTTCCGTGGCATTTTTCTGATACCCACTTGCACTCGAAAGTGGAGGGAGGAACTTTGAGAGTTCAGGTGGCTGAGTCGATATCTTCCTTGTTTTTTTAAATAAAAAAATTCCTCATACAACTTGGCCGACTTCTCACTCTAATGTTTCATTTCTTTCCACAGTTTTATCAAAATCTTGCAGTGACTTAAAGAAGCTTGATCCTAAGGCAAAAAGTGGAATCTGTCTGATTGATCCAGATGGTGAAGGAGGATTGCTACCTTACTACGTCAGCTGTGACATGAGTGACAAAGGCGGAGTTGGCGTGACTGTCATAAGTCACGACAGCGAGAGCAGGACATTAGTGGACAAAAATGAATCCGGGGAAACCTACTCTCGCGACATACACTACAGAGAAGCGAACATTTCTCAACTTGTGAGTCTCATCAACATTTCCCAACAGTGTGAGCAGTTCCTAAGGTACGAGTGCAGAGGTTCTACATTGACAGATGGCTTTTGGGTTTCACGTGATTCGATAGAAATGACATACTGGAGTGGTGCGGCACCTGAAAGTCACATGTGCGCATGCGGAATGAACGGCACATGCGCACAACCCAGTAAGTCAATAAAATGCTCCTGTAACTGTTGTGCGAATGACGGTGTATGGCGTGAAGATAGTGGTGTCCTTACCAACAAGACACATCTGCCGGTTAAACAGCTCAGGTTTGGAGATACAGATTACGACGGTCCATCAAAATTTGATGAGAAGGGTTACCATACCTTGGGAAAGTTTAAGTGTTACGGAATCGCCTAATTGTATGGAAGAACTAAATCGCTAATCAACACTGATCGTCCCGTCTTACGGTAAGCTTATAAAAACTATTGCCAGTGATTATAATTTAAAAAGTTTATTAAACAATGTTTTTACTTATTTCGTGTGGCAATATTTCACGAGGAAGCTCACAATGATGATTCGATAATGACACCAATATATTTTCAGTAATTTTTTTTCACCTATGGCTAATATCCAGCCTGGCAGGCCAAGTTCAGCTGCAAGTTGATTTGAATGAGAACCTGTATAAACAATTGGAATATAAAAAATATGTATATATTTACTTCACTAAACTTTCAAGAGATTGTAAACTTTGAGTGCTGGTGTAAAACTTATGCATGATAATCGCTATAAATTCTGTTGAAACTAACTAGTTTAACTATGCTGCATTTTAACCATTAATGGTTGTAATTTGTTAGGAAGGGAATCATCGACTTATAAGCTCGTCTTGGAGTAAAACAGATCCTGATAATTGTATTAATAAGTCTTCAATCATGATACTCTGCGCCAATTTACTATGCGTTAAAGTATTATGCACCAATGTACTATGAGTCAAAGTACTGTGCGTCAATGGCAATTTTTCTTGGGCGTTAATGTTGTTAAATATATATCTTCCAATATTTATATACGAAGTGCTAGTGGTTTTTCAAATAATGGGAGCAGTTGCACTTACATCAGTTATATATTTAGTAAAAAGACTCTAATGGTGTTCTAATCACGGTAGATTTAAAGTTCTAAATGTTTAGGAAGGAGGACACAATTTGGAAACTTTTAAAGAAGTTTTTGACTATACGCTAAAATATTAACATACGACTTGTTAACTTTTATAGCTACAACATGGTGGCATTGCTTAAACTGACTGCATTGTTATATTAATAATGTAATGGCTGACTTTTATTAAAGCTGAGTAAAAAGTTTACCAAACAAACTGTCAGTGTCGCATTGAGGGGGGGGGGGGGGGAAGAGGGAGGAGGAGGGGTGTGTGAGGATATTGATACTGCCTTGATCTAAACCAGGATTCAAACTTCGGGACAAAGTTGTTGGTAAAACGTTGTCAGAACAGTCTTAACAGCGCATGTTTTAGTGAATTAGCCTATAATTGCTTTTAAGGTCAATTTAAAATATTTCAAATTAAGACTGCAGAAAGCGAAGTGCCCCTCAGTGCTACCTCTGACGGCGACCGAATTTAATCCACATAATTCAACAGATGGGTGTAGAAAACGTGTGGTTAAAAATAATTTAATCCTACCAAGACCTATCAAATGCTTTAAAAAGGGTTTATAAAAACGTAAAAGTTCTAAAATAGACGAGAAGATGAAGATTTCGCGTGGAATTATTTTATAAATTTGTCTCTAGTCGTTTGGCAGAATCCTCTTCAGTATCTGTCGATAAGAATTATGTTCTTTTGAGTGCTAAAACTTTCTTTCAAATAGAACCTTTAGATCACGAGAAAAGAGCTTTCTAATTTTAAAACTGATCATTTGTCAACAAAATTATTTATGCTTGCTTAGCCGGTGAAAGGTTAGTTAAGCTAATTGTGAATTAGTTTTCATGCGACATAAAAAGTAAGTTTATGACATTCGATTTGATAATAGATTTAAAAACGAAAATCGCAAAGAGCCGATGTTATAAATGACAAATACCTAGCGTTCTACTATTAATGTTAACGTGCACTAGTATGATTTAACAGGCGACGAATGCCGCATCATTCTGTTCGAGGAGCCGAAACCGCACAGGGTAATAAAGGGGCACGTGATTAGAAGAGAAGAGGTAGTTAATGAGGGGTTCTGCCGGATGATGTGCTATATGGAGCCTAATTGTGTCTACATCAATGTGAAACCTTTACAAGGAGGAAAATACATTCGCGAATTGAATAACGCCACAGCTGATGAAAGGCAACTGGTCTTCCTTGAGCCGGAAACTTTTAATGCTTACTACTTGGCTGTTGAGGTCAGTAAACTTTTCATAGTTCCATATATAGCCTTTTCACGCCTCAATAGTATCTTTAATTCGAATCAATTTGATGCTTTCGTTTAAAAAGCAAGGACGAAACAACTAATTAAATGCTGGAGGACAGTTCAGAAAGGATAGAGACTCAACTGAAAAATATGCAGCACTGAACAATGAAGCATAAAAAGAGCAAAAAGCATCCGAATGCTGGCAAACTGACCAATGTCATAAACTGTTGTCCACGGTTGATTTACTTTCTTCATCTTTCGTTTCAATTTTTTCTCTGTTATGCCGTCGTTGACTTAATTTTTGACGGTGTTTTACGCAGTATATGTTCAACTTTCGCGGTCCTTGTGGTAAAAATTGTGTCATGTCTTTAAAATTATCCTTCAGTTACTATCTCTTTCGTTTTCAGCAGAATCCATGCAGTAGCAGCCCTTGTTTAAATAGAGGAACTTGTCAAGTTGGTTTCACTAGCAAAGGCTTCCGCTGCCTCTGTGTTCCTGGGTATGCCGGAGGAAATTGCAGTGGTACTGTAAAATCATCTTAGAGATAGAGTTGTCTTGAATTAACTACCACACCTTACTTCCCCAAAAGATACTGCCAGTAATCTACAGGAACCGTAAGGTTCAACCACTTACTTCTCCCAAATTTTTAAATCCAATGAAGTTTTGAATTTATTTTATTCGTCAGATTAAGGCAAAACGGAAGGGATTTTGTTTAAGAGATTGTTGGCTTTAAAAATTTTCTTTACACTCTAATGGATGGAAAAGATAGTTTTTACTTATCAAAACAACATTGCTGCAATTCATCGTGAGGCTCCCTTCAGCAAGTCTTTCAAACATTTAATTAAACATTTGTCTCTCTTTATCACCACAGTGCTACCAAAATCCTGCGGCCATTTAAAAAGGCTCCATCGTGAAGCAAAAAGTGGACTATACATGATTGATCCAGACAGTGAAGATGAACTATTGCCTTATAAGGTCATGTGTGACATGACTGACAAAAACGGAGTTGGCGTGACTGTCATAAGTCACGACAGCGAAATCAGAACACAGGTGAAAGGATGTGAAGATGCAGGCTGTTACTTGCGCAACATTAACTATACAGGAGCGAGCCTCTTTCCGCTTAAAAGTCTGACTGCTATTTCCCTTCACTGCGAGCAGTTCGTTAAGTACGAGTGCTATTACTCTAGGATGAGCTGGTACGCCTGGTGGGTGTCACGTGACTCGATGAAGATGACCTACTGGGGAAATGCAAAACCACGTGGTAATGGATTAACGTGCACTTGCGGGGTGAAAAAGACATGTACCAAAGCACGGTATCAATGCAACTGTGATGCGAATGATCTACAATGGCGTGAAGACAGTGGTTTCCTCTCTGATAAGACCGATCTGCCAGTCAAGCAGCTAAGGTTTGGCGATACACGTCAAAATTACGAGCGTGGCTACCATACCTTAGGAAAACTGAAGTGCTATGGAACTGCTTAACTGTAAAGATACGCTCGTAAAGCAGTTTTATCCTTTCAGGCTCATAAACCGTGGAAAGTTAGAGAAAATTTTATCTTCAATTTAGCTGACGTTAAGGTTGACTATGGGTTCCTAAAAACCCGGCGTTGACGTTATTAAGAAGACGCTGTGATCCTTAAGAAATGCTCCTTCATTTCTATGTTCATCTAGTGTAGGGGTATTTTTGTATTCTTTTAGTTGTTGTCATTTTAACATCTAAGTGAATGAGAAAAAGTACGAAAAATATTCTTATAACGACATTTGTACAACCTATGAATTATCTTTAGGGATGCTTTTACTGTGATGCAGGCAACATTAGCATTGTTCTTCTAATGATATAATCAAATGTAGCAAATGCAGTGGTGCATCTTTTTTTAGGAGGTAGAAGTACTGTCATGTAAGTTCTACTGAGGTTTCAATAGAGTTTGATAGGAGTTAATTGCAAGATTTGTATAAATCGATTGTTCGTAATAGGGGTGCATTTAGGTAACGTGTAATAAGTATTTATTTGTATTGTGCCTCACATGGACTCTGCCTCTCTTAAGGTCCTTAAAAATTAATTGTCAAAAACACCTTGATTTAGAGTCTTCTCCCAAATATACAAATCTTTTTAAATCTTTTTAAAGATTCTTTCATGAGTGTATCTGCCCTCTTAAATGTAAACAGACATTACCCGCTACAAAGAACACGTAGAAAATTAATGCTATACATAGTTTTGTATTGAGCAGATTTATTCCTGACATCTTGAAATCATAGGAAAGCTACCGAATGCACTACTTTTTAGCCTCCAAATTGAGGGCGAAAAGAGTATTTCTTCTACTTACTTATAAAAGACGTGAAATTAGTGATAAAAGCTATCTTTAGACGCTGTTTAATTGCTTCAATTAGCATTAAGTCACAAGTACAACAAGTAATGCATCTATTTTAAGGTACTTTGCGATGTTTGTACTAATCTTATTGTGCTGCCAGACATTTTGCTCAAGAATGAGCTGTTTGGCTTCTTACAAGAATGGTACTACAACGTTCCTTTTTATCCTTTGTATTTTATTCCGAATCGGACCGGCATCGGTATCTGCTTGTAATGGCGAGTGTACATTCGCTACATTCGCAAAACTATCTAAAACGTTCGCCCAAAATCACATAGGAAGGGCAACTTTGACCGTTAAGCTGCGCCTATATCAATGTTGCATTGACTGGCCTCCCTTTTTGATCGCGCATTTTTGTTCAAAATATTGCATCACGAGTAGACTTTAGCACGATTTTCCACCCCATGTTACTAATTAGTTTAGTTGTGTGATCTAACGGCTTCTCAATAATAATAACTTGTAAATGCTCTCCTTTTTACCGTCAGGAGTTCAAAGTGATTGAGTAAACTCTGAAAAGTTATCCTTTGTCGCAAATAAAATATATCAAAGTTCACACGGCAACCAGGTGGACAATCAGATATGGTTTGATGCTACTCTGGTTTACAGATTTAATGAATGTAACCGAAGAAGTTACAACTCATAGACCCATTGACTATGAATTGTAACTTCTTCGGTTACATTCATTAAATCTGTAAACCAGAGTAGCATCAAACCATGTCTGAGTTGTCCTTTGTGTTTGAAACTTGCGTTTATTGGTGTCTCGACAGGCGG